CTCTCTCTCTCTCTCTCTCTCTCTCTCTCTCTCTCTCTCTCTCTCTCCATCACCCACGATCTATCCTTGTCTTTCATGTTCCTTTCCCTCTCTTTCTCACACTCGCTCTATCCTTGTCTTACATATTCCTTTTTCTTTCTTACACACGCACTCGACCTACGGGAGTTGGCCGCTAGATGGCGAGTCGGTCAACTGTCACGAATGATAGCTATATGTCATATGCCGATTCCAAGCATATATGCACTCCTCGTCAAAATTAGAATGGTTGTATCTCTGCGAAAAATGGTCGTAAAAAATATTTAAAAACGCATTTTAAAGCTTGAAGCTTCTCGTTTTTTAATCAAGGACTCAATTTTTTTTCTATGTCGATTATAATATTGTTCTTTCAAGATGAAGCGCAGGAAGCGAAGTTTCAGAAATTTTTGCCTAGTTTGACCGTATGCACGGGCTAAAAAAAATGTTTTCACATAAATCCAATGGATGGTGCTTATAGAGCAAACATTCCTCTTTAATTTGGTTTTTTTGATTTTGTCATATGATTTTTTTGACCGATTTATTCGCTATCCAAGCAAAAAAGGAACTTTTAACTTTTGAACGCCTACAACTTGCGAACGCACGATCGTAGAAAATTTTTAATGAGTGTTTTGGAATGCTAAGACAATTTTTTTCAGAACCTTTAGTTGCCAATTCAATGAGATCTTTTTTTAACCGTATTAAATTTATTTAAAGATGATCCCAAGAATTGCATACTTACCATTTTCTAGAAAACGTGATGCCACTTCAAGAAAAATCATGGAATCATTTAATTGTTCACTTTTTTGTTGTGAGATGAAACTACTTGGAAAGGAAGAAGTCGGCTTTCTTTTGGTAAACTTTAGTTGTAGTTATAAAAACTTTAGGGATCTGCAGCCAGTAGGTAGCTTTATATCGTAGAACTCTCATAAGGAAATGCTTAATACTAAGGAGCAGGGTAAAGTGTTTTTTTATTATCAACTATATAGTTTAACAAATGGTTATTGAACGAGACAATTTGTTAGTTAGACAATCGATTCGTTAATATTTTTCAACCTATCACAGTGTATTTTTTTATCGACAAATGTATAACCGACGTTGTACGATCGCGAAAACGGCGCCTGTATGTATAATGATTGCCAGAGAACTAATTTGTAGATATAATGAAATATAGAAAATTTAATATGAGTAGGTACAATATAATAAACGATTCGGTACTTTTCACGCCAGCTCCTGGTGTTGGTCAAGAAATGGCTCCACCGATTCGTTTCTTCTGATATTTAAAGATCTGAAAATTAATTGAAAAATAAAAAAATTAATTTAGATTATTCACCGCTGGATAGCGATACGACTTGTGTGTTATACTCATAATCTACTCTTTAAGTTTAAATTATTGCATATTATGATTGCCTCGATATAAAATTATACATAATTGGAAAAAAAAGTAGAATATTCGAGTACAGTACAGAGTCTGTGTTGGTAGAATTATAGATAAAAGCGTAGAGTAAAATTCAATGGCTTACCTACTTAAATAGAAGCGCTCCTTCTTTTGTTTTATTTCCATAGGTAGTTCGTCTAATTTTATCTTATGCATTTATAGTAGAAAAAGGAATCCATAAATCTGTGAATATTCTCTTTCCATTTTATTTCCCTTTTGAAAGGATTTGTGATTCTGCGGTATCGATCGTTGCGGAACAATGAATCAATCGTCCTGCTCGGACGACAAAATTTATGTCCCCACCGTGGAGAGAAAGAGATGCTCTTTTCATTTTTCTTTCGAAGTATTCCCAATGCATTACCTGTTGGTTAGGAAAAAAAAAAAAGAAAACAGAAAATTACTTGTACATGTTCAAGTCGAAAAAGTAGACAAAATTATATCGATAGGTAACAATTAACAAATGCTTTTATTTCACGAATATCGAATGCACTCTCTAGGGCTTCTTAAACTATGGGTCGCGAGATTTTAATGTAAAATATTCAATATTCTCTTTCATTTATGTTATTGCAAACAATGTAGTTTCGATGAAAAATAGGGTATATAATTTTTGTAACCAATAAATACAATTTCACAAATTTTTATACAATTCTTAATTCTATATTTCTGTATATTTTTAAACAAATTTTGAAACTATATGTTTTTATATGTATATACAGGGTGTTTCAAAAATGGAGGTCCTTGAAAGGAGTGATTTGAAACAACTTTTGCCTTAGCGAAAATGTTCTCTCCCTTTCTTTCTTTCGTTACCTCTCTTTCAAAATGGCGGCTACCAACTCCGCTTAAAATTTCGATTCTCCTACACGTAATTTGTCGTTTGCGCTCCCGAGTTACAGCGAATTATAGAGAAACCACTGTATTATTATTTTTGTTTTTTTGCTTTAAGGAACGAAAGGTCATTTTTGCGACGAAATAATCCTACTATCGATCAGGATATCGTATTATCGATCAGGTAATCGTAATAGTCTGCTTATCGTAATAATCTTCCGCTCGTATTTTATATTCGGTGGAATCGGCGATCGCTCGAAACTCGGATGCAATCGATATCTAGCGCCTGAACTCGTAATTAGTTTCGTATTACGGAAAGAACGAGCAGACATCGTTGCGAAGTTACAGACACCGCTTGACCCGGTTCCGTCAATTAACAATGGCGGCTGCGTCTGAAGCTTCTCGTTCGTCCTTCGCTGCATCTTCTTCGCTGCTTTATTTTCTGCAAATATTTAACGGAACACGATGCACCTTGCGCGGTATTTTTAATCTCTCAAACGGGGACAGTTTTCCTACTTCGCCGAACTTTTAGTGTTCTCAGTGTTAATTTAAGATCCGCGACAGAGATTTTACGATAATAGTAGAGCACACTGTCGCTAACTCGAGCTGGATTACTTTCTCGTTTCGAGATTGTTCTGGAAATTGAACGTAAAAATAAATGTAGCCTTTGGAAACTATTTTTATTATCATCGTAATATCGTGCAACGTTAACGTAATTATTTCATTTTCACCGTACAGATCGTCGCGCTGAAAAATCGATTCCTCCAAAATATATAGTTGTTAACGTTGTTGATAATAATTCCGGCCTTAATTAAGACGTATACATGGAGATTGAATGGTAGCTTCCGCCTGGTTATAACCATGTTGCGCCGCTGGATAATTTATTCATTTGGGCAAATTTTGGTTGATCCTCGCCGAAAACTGTTTATTTACGACTTCAGAAATGAACGCTATTGATTTCCTCGTAATCAGTGCCCTCCATTTCTAATTCCATTTACTGTTTCCCGCGTCACATAAAATTCCTCTTAGTCGTTTTATTCGTGGGAACTTTGCGGTGCGTTAAATCAAATTACCGTGGGAAATTTATTTTATTTCAGAAAAAAATATTTATCAATTTCGCTTTACTCTGAATTGTTATCAGTATTGTAGAAGGTATTTTCGAGTTATCAGTTCGAGTTTCAGTGCATTTATGGTAGAGATATTTGTGCATTTACAGAGACTTTACTGTAACAGTATTCTAAAACAGTTTATTTATGAATTTTTATTACTCGCGGTACAATATTCTTCGCTCCCAGTCGGATCGAACAAGATGAAAACTTCGATGGTGCCGCATAATAAACAACGTTTAATCGTATTCAATTTTTCGCAAAAACATGCAATTGGCCAGGGAAATTCGACTGGATCGAAAAGTAGCCGCGAGGAACGTCGCCACGGGTATGAAATATTTCCAGGTAAACACGCGCCCGCAGGAAAATCGCAATGAAAAAAATAGCCTTTGTAGCAATTTTTCTGGCGCATTAATCAAATAGAAAGGATTATTTTTCCGCAAAAGCTTAATCGGCCGACCGATGCGGCACACAGAGACGGAGAAAAAAAAATATGAGAGGACGAAGGTTTTCCACCAAGTAAACCGCGAAATTGCTCGCCACTTTTAGGCGTCTCTTTTTCTTTCTATTTTTGTTCCTTTTCCGCGGCCGTTTAATTTCCGCGGGGCCGAGTAATCCTCTTTCGGCGGCGATTGAGCGTAACTAGTGAACTTTTGCCATTTTCCCAGTTTCAGCGCGCGGGGTACAATAACCAGCCGGTCGTCACTTTTGCGAGTATATCCGGCCCGCGTTTGCAAATAAATTTTCCGCCGTCGGTATCGATTTCCAGCAGGAATTGGGACAATCGACTGGACGCCTCTTAAGCGACCTTACCGTGGCAGCGGCGCATCCGCCACGCGCTACAAAATCTCGGAGGATGCACGCTGCGCTTTCAGCGACCAAATGAAAACATCGAGGGAAACGCAATGCAGTGGCGGTAGCCATGGCTCGCGTCGTATAGATGCTATCGAGCAAATCTCTCTTTTCTTTTCTTTTTTCTTTCTTTTAATTAGATAAAAGTGACCGAGATCCATTCGACACACGTCGCGTTAACTTCGAGATTCTTAATCCGAGATTTTTATCCGGAAATAATCGCGGCGTAGACGATGAAAATTCAGGGTTGGCTTTCTATTGAAGGTACGTTCCGCAGACCTCGATACGAGTGACTTAAAATTTGTCCTTTTCAATTAAAAAGGGGGCGGCGTATAGAATTTCGTGTTAAAAGTTGCTTCGCGTGCTGAAAAGAAAAATGTAGCGTGCAAGCAGAGAAGGGTTTAAAGAAGATAGAAAGGGGTACTACGTTGTCTCGCGAAATAAATTTCTGAGTCGCTAACGAAGCGTATAAAAGAAGATTCAAGAAAATGGCAGGGTTGCGGGTCGCGAGATATTTCATGAAAATAATTTAATGAGACCCGACACAATGTTACTCTTAGAAAAAGGAATTACTTTCAATTATGCGAGGTAATACCGCAACTAGGTCGTGCACAAACCACTGATTTTCTAATCAATTATTGATAAATAACGATTATATCCTCGTTCATAAATATGTGGACACTTGCCACTTTCAATGAGTATTTAATATACACCGTGAATTATCACTGTACAACTTTTGTTGCTAAATTCTACAGTCAGTGTAAGAAGTATTCGTACAGCAACCAATTTAAAATAAAATTAATAAAAAAATAAGAGATAAGAGATTAACATTAAAAGTAATAAACTTCAATTTACACAAAATCTACTCTAAAAATATGTAGGAATCTTGGTTAATTATTTCTTCCCCTAAAATTTATTAATAAAATAAATATACGAAGTCTTATTTTGAATTGGTTCTTGTACGAATACTTACTACATCGACTGTATATTGTATTTAACAACATTTAATAATATTAAATTACCACATTCAATTTTATAGTGGAACTATGGGAGATTGTTTACATAGAAAAGTTCAGAAAGAACGTTCAATATATCAAACACATTTTTAGGCGAAATATTACAAAATAAACGAGACAATAGTATAGAAATTAAAAGCACAACATTTTTTTCTTACAGTATTGAAGTGCGCATAAATAGTGCATTCCTTAAATTTTATTTAAGTGTGGGGGAGGGAGCTAGCTAGGCAGACGTGCAAACATCAGAATACGAACTCTACCATATATGCACAAGTTGCATTTGCACCAAGAAGTTAGCCCCTTAAGGAATGGAACGCAAAAATTGGAGTTATTAGCAAACGTGCAAACATCAGAGAATACGAACTTTACCATGTATGCACTAGTTCAGTCCCGACTTTGTGCATTTATAAAGACTTCACTATAAATAGATATCGGATTGGAACACACGCGTCCCAGGAGATCGTGCTGCGACTAATGGACTTTGTCGTGCCGAACTGCTCCGCCGAAGTCCGTGAATAGCACGGCGGAAATGCGATATATAATTTAAAGCATGATTGAAAGGGTCTTTCATGGAAGCATATTCCGAAAATGAATGCGTATTGTGCCCGAAAGAAACGGTTCGTTTCAGACGCGGCGTACGAGAAATTGAATTCACATTTTCCCGCGTATCAGCGACATCGTTGATTGGTAACAATATTTGCGAACATTTTTACTATGCGCGCGCTACGTTCAGAATTTATTTCGCGAGACGAGACGCACGGAAACTCATTAACAAGCTTTTATTTCGCATCCGAGCCCGCGTTACATGATTTATCGAAGCCGCTGGCCTGCTAATTTCGACGAAATAAACGCGATAGCAAAACGAAGAATGTTATTTCAATGGAAATTTATAATTATCCATGAATTTGGTCGGATCGAATTCCCTTGATCCGAGACATTTATCTGGACGAGAATTTTGCCAACTTTCCTCGAGTAAAAATCTAACGGAAAAATTTGAAATCAAAAGTCTTCGATCGTAAGCTTCGAGGGAAGTTTCTCGGAAAACAGCGGCGAAACTTCGGTGAAAAATTGCTATGGATACGCATTCAATGTTCCGCCTGAATAGACATAAAAGAACTCCCACGAACAAGTTTCGCGAAAAATGTGTAGCTTCTTCCCTGGGCTTTAATTATAACTGTGAAAAAAAAAGGAATCCAAACAAAATACGCTCAGGTTTCTAGACGGCAGATCGAAATCCGCTAATGAAGTTGGGACAATCGTCCACTTTAGTTTCCCGTGGTTTCTCGTTATCGCGTAACTAGCAAAATTCACCGGAATTTCCATGAAAACTTCCCACCTTCCACTTCTTATTTACAGCGAAAGTAATATCGACTTGTCCAACTTTTCTTGGTCGATCCAATTGAGTCGAACATTTATTCGAATATGAAATTTTATTTCGTCGTTATTACACTGCGGATATTTTTGCATTTATAAGAAATTTGAAAAACTATAAAATACACGCAGTATGTAATAATATAAAATAATATTGAAAGTAAAGTTCGTATTACAATATTCGCAGAGTA